TGTATCCAATCTTCTCCCTCTCTCTCTTTTCTCCAACTCCCAAAATACACACACACACAAAAATAAAGCTTCATGCTTAAGAATCAGAAAGCTAGGGCAGAGCGTGGTAGCCTAGTGGCTAAAGTCCTCGCCTTGCATTTGCCAGGATCCTATATGGGCATTGGTTCATGTCCTGGCTGCAACATTTCCTATGCCACTCTCTGCTTGTGGCCTGGGAATGCAATAGAGGACAACACAAAGCCTTGGGACCCAGCACCTGTGTGGAAGGCCCAAAAGAAGCTCCTGACATTGGATCAGCTCGGCTCTAGCAACTGCGGTCACTTGGGAAGTAAATCAGTGGATGGAGGAGCTTTCTCTCTGTCTCTCCTTCTCTCTGTAAATCTGCCTTTCCAATAAAAATGCATAAATCTTCAAAAAAAGCTTTATTTATCATCTTAGACCCTAATCTTGCCACAGAAATTTAAATAAATCAACTAGCATCTCCTGACTGTAATGACATCTCATCAATACAATATCATCAAGGAAAAAAGAATGTCATTAATTTTCCTGATAAATGTTTTCATCACCTTAAATGGTTAGTAGCGAAATCTCTTAAAATTATTTTTACATGCTTATTTTTAAAGATATCATTGATTGTTTTTTAATGGCTATAATTTAGCAAGTGCTTATTATTTAGTTTCAGGGCTATGTCCTTTAAATGCCTTACCTTATTTAGTCCTTGAACAATCTTATAAGGTTGGTAATGTAACATTTTTAGCTCACAGATAATAAATGAAGAGGCTTAACTACTTTGCTAGGATCAGTCTCAAAGAAGTGACATATGTAAAGTGGGCTCCAAATTTTAGTATCTTATCATTCTCTGTGGCTTAAATGACCACCCCCATTTTTTTAACATAAAAATACTAAAAGTACTTTTAACATCAAAGTAATCATTGGAAATATTGCATGCTGCTCCAAGTTATAATGTAGTGACCAAGTAGACAATATGATTACAAAAATCGCCGTGAAAAGCATGTGGCATAGAATCAGAGCTGTGTGCTTTTTATATTCCTATTTCTCAGGTGACAATCTTTCCTTAACCATCATCACTGTCAACCTAGAAGTTTCTTTCCATGTGCCTCCATTGAGTAGGTTTCTTGTTTGCTTTTTATTTTTTGCTTTTTTGCAAATTGCCTGCAAATTTCTCACTTTACTAAGGGCTGAGAAATCAGTTGAAAAATGCTGATTTTCACATAAGTGAAGAATAAATGGTCTCAAAAGCCAGCAGTGCACTCTGTGCAAGGTGACTAGCAGATTCAGAGCATGGAATGAAGCCTCCGCTTTCAGCTTCCCAGAAAACATGATTGAGGAAATCCCGCCACTGGAGTGCACTCCGGAAGAATGAACTCTGCAATAAGTTCTTTTCGTTTAAGAAAAGTCTAGCCAGACAGAGAGAATGCCCTGAACAGTGTGAGCCTGAGTACCAAACACAGCAAGAATGCTAAGTTAGGAAACTGGATTATAAAATTTGCCATTAGGAAATAATTTATAAGAAAATAAAATATAGAGATTACTTAACATCAAAAATCAGAAAAGGTTCAATAAGTTCACATTTATACATTTGTGATCCACATACCCTAAAACCAATTTCTAAATCGTTACTTATAACATAAGGAGATAATTTTGCTCTCCAATGAAAAAAGAGGATTTAAAATTGACATATGAAAATGAACAGTAGCTAACCTTCACTGGACTTCCACATGTCAAGGATAGTCCCAAATGCTTGAGATGCGTAAGGATTGTAAGGAGGGGAGAGGGGAGAAGAAAGAGAGATTAGAAATTCAACAAAATCACTGATTGTTTCAAAAGATGGATTGCCTCTGAGTAATACAGTTATGAATAATTTTAGTGCTTTTTTAATTTATTTATTCATATGAAAAGCAAAGGGAGAGAGTCCGAGAAAGCTCCTATCCACTGTTTGACTACCAAATGCTTACAAACGCTTGCCAGAGGCAGAGCCAGAAGCCAGGAACTCAACTAAGTGTCCAACGTGGGTGACAGAACTCCCATCACTGGAACCTTTTCTGCTGTCTGCTATGGTCTGCAATGGTTAAAAAAAAAATTTGGAGTCAGGAACTGGGACCGGGAACCGAACCCTGGCTCTCTGAGATGGGACACAGGCAGCCTATCCAACAGCTGAACCACTTGGCCAAACACCCACCTCTTGATTTTTCTTCTGACTTTTCAATATTTTCAAATGTTGTTCTTTTATCTAATGAATATACATCATGTTCATGAGAGGATTGTTTGTATTTTTAAAGTTGACTTTTTTTTTTTTTGAGCCAAGTGAGATTTATTAAGTCAGAAGCCTCTTGCCATAGCAGTCAGGACGCAGCCTCCAGGAAAAGAAGGCTTGAAAATCTGGTCAAAGTGGAGTCTTTTTATCACAGTTTTTTGGGGGAAATAGAACAGCAACTAATAGAGCATTGGGATATAAAATTTGAAAGACCAAAATTCTAATCCTGTCTGTCTTTTCAAGATAATTTAGAGACAGGCATGTGATGATGTGGTTAAGATGCCACGGGGCCCTATACCTCATATGAGATTGTCTAAGTGCAATTCCAGCTCAGCTCAAATTCCTCTTTCCGGTTACTCCGTGCTCTGGGACACAGGAAGTAGGGCGGCTTGAATAACTGGAGTCCCTGACACCCATGGGAGACATCTGCATGGAGTTCCTAGCTCCTCGCTTTGGCCTGAATACCTCTCAACTGTGGAGTTTTAAGGAGAGAACCAGCTACTGAAAGCTCTCTCTCTCTTCCTGCCAGCCTTTAAAATAAATAAAATTTTTTAAAGATAATAAGGACAATTCAGGTCACACAAAATAACAGAAAAGCAAATTCTTTGATATATGCCACAAAATATCCAAAGAATGCAAATTAAAATTTCTTCATGTATTTCAGGAATTTCAGATCAGCTAATCAATAAGGCTATGTCCTTATACTATTCCACTTCTTCTATAAGCCTTTTCTTGATACACTGTAATTTAAAAGATCTATTTCAAAAGCTTGGCATTGAAAATTGTATATATATATTCTATTGCTTGTTGTTTGCCATAATAAACTCCTAAATTTGTGTATTCACCCTGACATTTGTGGGAGTTGTTTAAAATAAATATATGGGGCCCAGCGCGGTAGCCTAGAGGCTAAAGTCCTCACTTTGCACCTAAAGTTCTCGCATTGCACGTACCAGGATCTCATATGGGTGCTGGTTCTAATCCGGGCAGTCCCGCTTCCCATCCAGCTCCCTGTTTGTGGCCTGGAAAAGCAGTTGAGAATGGGACAAAGCCTTCGGACCCTGCACCCACATGAGAGACGCGGAAGAGGCTCCAGGCTCCTGGCTTCAGATTAGCACAGCTCCAGCTGTTGCAGTCGCCTGGAGAGTGAATCAACAGAAGGAACATCTTCCTCTCTGTCTCTCCTCCTCTCTGTAGATTTAATTTTTCAATAAAAAAAATAAATCTTTGAAAAATAAAGTAAATATAGGATCATTTTTCAGAGGCCAAAGAGATAGAATTGTCCTAGGAAAATATAAAACGGATAAATATAAATTGTTTCCAGAAGTCATGTATTGTTTGGTGATTATTCCCTTATTCTACCCCCATGTCATTCTCTAATGCCAACTAAGCCTACTAGAAAAAAAAGCTTATTCAGACTTGTACTATATGAACCAGGTTGGATACACCTGAACCCACTTGGTCAATCTAAAGAACCCCAAACACAATGATTATGTCTCTTGATCTGCTGCAATCAGAAGTAAAATCTATGAAATATTCATACCAAAAATCAAACCTGAATCTGAACTTTACTTTTATGAGTTTGAAATTTTCTACAATTAAGAAGTTTTCAGGCAATGTTAGCCAGTTAACTGAGTCTTGGAGAACTGAAGCAGCGCTGCCAGCAACAACGGCCGACGTCTGCAAAACGAACTCATCGGGAGACACCTGCCACCGTCACATTACACACCGCTTCTGCACCAGGGACAAACCAGTGCTTCTTGCGCTTGACTCCTAGACTACATTATGAACTTGACTTTGCAGCCCATACTGCTCCTGCCAGATCAAAGAGCCTCTGCCCGTTGCTTTCCGTGGGACTAGTCTCCTGACTCTAGATGCCGTGTGGTGGACTAGACCCTGCGTCACAGAGCTGAGCCCTCACTCCAAGAGCGACTGGGAGAGCAAATACTCAGCATTTCTGTGAGTCCATCCGTCTGTGCCCTTCTCCGAGATTTATGAGGAGCAATCCCCAGAGAGCGAAGAGTTCAAGTACAGGGCAACCGACATGAACAATAAATGTTCACTGTAACTTTTTTAAAAAAAAATTACTCCCCAGATGAAGTATAAACTCTCCATTTTATTATTAAGTTTCATCTAATCTGTGACTCAATCCACTTTTTCAGACTAGATTCCACTCTGTATTCTATAACTGGATTCCAGACTGTATTCTATAACTCAGCCAAAAGCAGATATCTCACAATTAGCTAAAATACCACTTTCTCTGCCCTTCCTCCTGCTAGCTCGTCTTCCGGAACATGACGCCCACAGCCAGCTCACTCTGGAAGCCTGTCATATTGACCATTTCCTCCAGAAGCAGTATCATGAGCCTCCCTCTGGCCACGACACCTTTTCCTGTTGGAGGCCTGTTTTACTGTGCTTGAGCCAGCACCTAATGTGGTTAACCACATTTTCTTTTTTATCTGCCCACCTCTCCGAATCAGGCCAAAGTTCATACTGATCAATAGAACTTACAATACTAAGTCGGTTCAGTATACTGAAAATACTTCAATGCTTCATTTCAAACTTGAGGAATCAACATGTACAGCCAGGTAGTAATAGCAGGTAACAAATACAAGATAAACATAAAATAATAGCATACTTCTGGTTTGTAAAAAAATGTAACACTGTGCCAGTCATGCTATTGGGAAGGTTCATTATACTAACCCTTCTAATTAAAAGCACTTTCCTTGTGCTCGCTTCGGCAGCACATAGACTAAAATTGGAATGATACAGAAAAAATTAGCATGGCCCCTGCGCAAGGATGACCCAACGGAAAGCACTGTCCTTTCTTATTCTTTTAAAGATGTACTTATTCCTTTGAAATGCGACGTTTCAGAAAGAGAGGAAGATACACAGAGAGCATCTTCCATTTGCGGGTTCACTCCTCAAACGCCCACAATGCTATACACTCTACTGATCCCTCGGCTTTTTAATGTGAAACAATTAACCTGCCTAGATCTCTGAAGCAAATACTCTTTGAATAGGCCACCCTTACTTACACAAAATATGTTCTGTTCCAACACTTACTCAAATTCAACACGTTTACTTCCTAACAACATGATAATCTGCATTTTGAAATGTGCAGTCCATGCCTATACCAACACTGCTGTTTTCCTTGGCTACAAAAGCCCCATTGGGGCCCAACACAGCAGCCTAGTGGCTAAAATCCTTACCTAAAATGCCCCACTATGGGCCAAGCGTAATAGCATAATGGTTAAAGTCCTTGCCTTGCATGCACCAGGATCCCATATGGTCGCCGGTTCTAATCCCGGCAGCCTTGCTTCCCATCCAGCTCCCTGCTTGTTGCCTGGGAAAGCAGTAGAGGACGGCCCAAAGCCTTGGGACCCTGCACCCGCGTGGGAGACCTGGAAGAGCTCCTGAGTCCTGGCTTTGGATTGACTTCAGCTCCAGCCATTGCAGTCACTTGTGGAGTGAACCATCAGACAGAAGATCTTCCTCTCTGTCTCTCCTGCTCTCTGTATATCCGCTTTTCCAATAAAAATAAATAAATCTTTAAAAACAATACCCCACTAATTGAATATGAAATTTCTACACGCAAAACAAGCTGAATTGTTTGCAGCTGTACTGCATGGACTCCCGCTCGAATGCCTACACTTGAATCACACATGCTTTGGAGGATCGGCAAGGTAGTGTTTCTAGGCCACAGGACAGAACGCCCCCAGGTCTCCCACAGAGACCAGAGCAGGACCAGTGGTCAGGGCAAGCCATGTGACAGTGCTCATCCACCTACAGTTTATCTTGTGTCATAGATTGAATTTGTTTAAAGTTCTCCATTACATGCTAAGGTTCTTAGGAATGCACTCTGTTTTACTGTCTTTATCTCTGTAGTGGTGCTTACAAGAGAATCTTAAACAAAATTAAGCTTTACTAAATCAAACTGAACCACAGTTATCGCATCAAAGATTACTGTATCTTTTAATAGAGTGTCTGGGTAGAATTGATCAAGAATTCTCAAGAGATAAATGAGCTTTTAAAATTACTGGCCAGACACATTTTAGCCCAGAGCCCGCATTCAGGCCTATGTCACTGACAAGAGGCCTGCACTTCCAAGGAAGAACTTTATTCTGCATCCATCCTTCGCTTCACTTCCCGTTGCTAAGTAAACAAACCCACATCACCCCCATCTGACAAGCTTATCTCCAGGGTCAGGCACTGTTGGAGCTGAGTCATAAACATAAGAAAGTGAGATGGGAGAAAGTATTTTTATATCTCAGTATGAAGAGCTTATTCATTGACTTGGATTTTCATAGTCTAGCCCAGTGCTTATTAAACTTGTGGAGCTCATACAAATTTTTGAAAACCAAGAAAGCTACCCCTAGAATACTGCACGCGTTATTTTTAAACACACAAGAAATTGCCAAATACCTTCAAAAGTCCTGTGAGACCACTTATGAACATGATTCTATAGACACCTGGGTTAATAATGTAATTTATAGTCAAAAAGTGATTAAATACCAGAAAACTATTATACCTTATAATTTATATTTTTTTTATTTTATTCTCTCAGTCAATGATTCATCAATACCTACCTACAATGATACTTAGGATTATTTTGTGGCAAAGCCTTCTTTTAAAACAAAACAAAAAAAAAAGATTTCTTTTTATTGCAAAGTCAGTTATACAGAGAGGAAGAGAGACAGAGAGGAGCATCTTCCATCCATTGATTCACTCCCCAAGTGACCGCAATGGCTGGAGCTGCGCCAATCCAAAACCACGAGCCAGTAACTTCCTCCAGGTCTCCCACGCGGGTGCAGGGTCCCAAGGCTTTGGGCCGTCCTCAACTGCTTTCCCAGGCCACAGGCAGGGAGCTGGATGGGAAGTGAAGCCGCCAGGTTTAGAACTGGTGCCCATATGAGATCCCAGTGCATTCAAGGCAAGGACTTTAGCCACTATGTACTTTTTTTTATTGAAAAGGCAGATTTACAGCGAGGAGACACAAAGGGAAAAGATCTTCTGTACACTGGCTCACTCCCCAAGTAGCTGCAATGACCAGAGCTGATTTCATCCAAAGCCAGGAGCCAGGAACCTCAACCCTCAAACCTCCTCCAGGTCTCCCACGTGGATGCAGGGTCTCAAGGTTTTGGGCTGTCCTTGACTACTTTTCCCAGGCCACAAGCAAGAAGCTGGATGTGAAGTGGAGCAGCTGGGACATGAACTGGAGTCCGCGTGGGATCCTGGAGCATATGCAAGGAGAGGACTTCAGCCACACACTGTTGTGCTGGACCCTGGTTTTTGTTATTAAGTGTAAAATGACAAGAATGTCTAGAAAACAAATACATAGGCAGGTGTTTTGGTAAGGGCATAGTCATGCCGACACTCTTAAGCTCAAGATATCTGAGAGGTGTTTAAAGAGCAAGAAGGCTGGTGGAGCTCAAGCCAGTAGAAGTGGATTGAGAAAGCTGAAGATTACTGGAGGAGTGTGAGTGATCAGACTCACTGTATTCAGTTGGTATTTGTCAAGAATCACACTCATGCAAGAGTCAGATTGGGTCCGTAGCTCCCAGCTTCAGCCCGAGCTGGAGCAATCGCAGTTCCAACCAAATACGAGTGCACCCACATGTGTTTTTTTCTGCTGTCAGCATCTGGGGAGTGGACCAGTGAATGGACTGTCTCTATTGCTCTTGTCTATCTCCTGGCATTCCCTGTCTTAATATAATCTGTTACCACTTGTAGTCGTCCTCAGTTTCATGGCATACATGCTGAAGTCATCAATAGTTGGAATCTGAAGTGAAGCAGCGGGGGCAGGGGAGGGCCAACTGTCAGCATTATGATAGCTGTCGCAAACAGAATGAGGTGAAATCTTGCTGTGGTTTTTATTTCCATTCACCTCCAAGTTAGTGATCGTATTTTTTCATGCATCTCTTGACCATTTGCATTTCAGCTTTCAAAAAACGCCTGTTCATGTCCTTTGCACATTTCTTAATTGGATTCTTTGTTTTGATGTTGTTGCATTTCTTGAACTCTGTATTTACTGGATACTAATCTTTATCAGATGCCTTGTTTGCAAATATATTCTCTTATTCTTCTGGTTGCCTCTTCATTTTGACGAGTATTTCCTTTGCCATACAGAAACTTCTTAGCTTAATGTATTCCCATTTCTTAGTTGTTGCTGTTGTTGTTGTTGTTGTTTTGCCCTTATCGCCTATGCCACTGAGATCTTTACTTAGAAGTCTTTCCCTATAGCAGTGTTTGGAGAGTTTTCCCAATGTTTTCCTCTGGTGATTTGATGGTATCAGATTATATATTCAGATTCTTGATCCAATATGAATTTATTTTTGTATAAAGTATGAGATACAAGTCTCGTTACATGCTTTTGCATGTGGAAATTAAATTTTATCGACACTATTTCTCCAGGGATTGATTTTGGCTCATTTGTCAAAGATTAGATGGTTATAAATGTTTAGATTAATTTCTGGTATTTCTACTCTGTTTTATTGATTTACATGTGTATTTCTGTGTCAATACCAAGCTATTTTTGTTAGAAATGCCCTGTAAGATATCTTGAAACCCAGTACCATGACACATTAAGCCTTTTGCTTTGAAGATTGCTTTAAGCTACTTTGTATTTCCATATGAATTTTAGCATCATTTTTTTTCTGTAGCTGAGAAAAATGTTCTTGATATTCTGATTGGGATCACTTGGACCTGTTTACATACATATACTTTCTAGCCAAGAAGGCTTCATGAATCATTTCAAGATTTCCTTATTAGTCATAGTGTAACTCAGAGATTTTTTTTCTCAGGACTATTCAGGGCTTTTAAGACTGCTTACTACTAGTAAAAGAAATTTCCACGGTCCCAAGTTCAATATATAAATAACTTCAAGCTAAACTGTCTTATCCTGAAGGAATACAATATTTTAAATCTAAAGAAGTCTGTTTAAACCACATATAATATAATATAATATAATATAATATAATATAATATAATATAATATAATATAATATAATATAATATAATATAATATAATATATCTCCAGACTCCTGACTTTGGATTGGCTTAGTTCCAGCCATTGTGGCTGCTTGGGGAGTGAGCCATCAGACAGAAGATCTTCCTCTCTGTTTCTCCTCCTCTCTGTATATCTGCCTTTCCAATAAAAATCTTTTTTAAAAATTACTACTAACAGTTATATAACAACAAACTGGAAAATCTAGAAGAAATGGATGGATTTCTGCAATCATAGGATCTAAAAAAACTGAGTCCTGAAGACACAGAAAATCTAAGTAGACCAATAACTAAGACAGAGATTGAATTAGTAATAAAGATCCTCTCAGAATGAAAACCACAGGACCAAATGGTTTCACTGCTGAATTCTACCAAACTTTTCAATAAGAACTGATTTCTATTTCCTCAAACTATACCAACAATTAAAAGGGAAGGAATCCTCCCCCAAATCCTTTTATTATAGCATCATTATCTTTACAGACCAATATCCCTGATGAATTTAGACATAAAGATACTCAACAAAATACTAGCTAACAGAATACAAAGACACGTCAGAAAAACCATTCACCCAGAACAAGTGGGATTTATCCCTGGTCAGTAGGGATGGTTCTACTTATGCAAAGCAATACATGAGAGGAGTCAGATGTGCTAAGAGGTAGTTAGGACCTCTGATCCCTGGTGAAGTTACTTTTTGAAAATATAAAATCTTGATTCTCCCCCATTTTTCACCATACCAAAGGGACATTCTAAGTCAGCCCCTTCAAGCAAAAGCAAAGGGACAAAATCAGAATATCAACCCCCATCTTTGAATTATTGTCCTGACA